GTCGCAAGAAAATCAAACATTCGTCTGGATTGAAATTACTTTAAACAAAATTGTGAAAATGACATTTTTTATTTATTCACATGGTGTGGGTATTTCTGGTTGGGCCAGCATTTATTGCCCATCCCTGTTTGTCCTAGAGAAGGTGAATCCCTGGGATGTAGGGATATCCTTATGGTTGTTACGGAGGGAGTTTCAGGATTGTGACCTAGTGACAGTGAGGGAATGGTGATATAGTTCCCAAGTCAGGATGGTGAGCTTTTTGAGGGAAACTTGCAGGAGCCAGTGTTCCTATGTATCTGCTCCAATTGTATTTCCGGTGATGGAGTTTGCAGGTTTGGAAATTGCTATCATCAGGACTCTGGGGAGTTGGTGTAGTGCGTCTGTATAGGTGGTACATTCTGCTGTTGCAATGGGGGTGGTGAAGGGAGTGACTGTTAAAGGTGCTGGGTGTGATGGCCCTGTTACAAGAAGGATATTAATAAGCTGGAGAGAGTTCAGATTTACCATGATGTTCCCGGGAATGGAGCAAATGAGTTATAAGGAGAGGCTGGGGCTTTTTTCACTGGAGCGTAGGAGGTTGAGGGGTGACCTTAAAGAAGTTTTTAAAATCATGAGGGGCATGGATAGGGTGAATGGCAGGTGTCTTTTCCCTAGTAAGGGGGATTTCAAGACTAGGAGGCATATTTTTAAGGGGAGAGGAGAAAGATTTTAAAGAAGGTATGAGGGGCAACTTTTTTACACAGAGGGTGGTTTGTGTGTGGAATGAACTTGCGGAGGGAGTGGTGGGTACTGGTACAGTTACAATGTTTAAAAGGCATCTGGATAAGTATGTGAATAAGAAATGTTTGGAGGGATATGGGCCAGGAGTAGGCAGGTGGGACTAGTTTAGTTTGGGATTATGTTTGTCATGGACTGTTTCCATGCTCTATGAGTCTATATGGTGTCAATCTGCTGATATAAAACAGAGCAAAATAAAATGGCACAGTTACTATCCGAGAATATTTGGGCCTTGGCCATCTCTGACTAGGTATCACACTTATTGAAAGGGTGATGACAGGAAAGTTGGCGGTAGCACTGCTGGATTGACTGCAGCATGTGATTTACATTGCTGGCACCTTTCCATTCAGGTTGAGATTGGGGTAAGCGTTAACACTCAGTTTTCCTCGACTTATTGCTGATGTTTTGGCTGCTAATCTGAATGTCAAATCTAAGAAAATCCACCCTACCACATCCACATCTTTGGGTGAGGATGAAGAACGAAAGGGAGATGGAATTTTATTGTAACGCTCCAGCCATATAATCGGTTTGATTAGATTATTCCACGAGAGTGTCTATTTATTACTTATATTCTGTGGCGCAATAGGTTAGCGTGTTTGGTTAATTGGGAGGTTGGTGGTTCAAGACTATCCAGAGGTGAAGTGTTTGTTCACTTAGGGGCAGCACGGTGGCTCAGTGGTTAGCACTGCTGCCTCACAGCACCAAGGATCTGGGTTCAATTCCACCCTCAGGCAACTGTGTGGAGTTTGCACATTCTCCCTGTGTCTGCGTGGGCATCCTCCAGATGCTCTGGTTTCCTCCCACAGTCCAAAGATATGCAGGCTAGATGGATTGGCCATGCTAAATTGCCTGTAGTGTTCAGGAATGTGTAGATTAGGCAGATTATAGAGGCATGGGTCTCGGGGGATGCTCTGAGAGTCGGTGTGGACTTGTTGGGCCGAAGGGCCTGTTTCCACACTGTAGGAATTCTATGATTCCATAAGTTTGTACATTCTAGAATAGCTTGTTGAGTACTGTCAAGTCTTTGTTGGATTACCTATTTATCATAACAAATTTGACATTTCACAACTATATGTTAACTAGACGTGAAATAGGTTATCACCATTGGGTTTTGTGCCAGGTATTCTGTGGGATTCCATTTCATAAAAAGACATTTGGAAAGGTATATGGATAGGAAAGGTTTAGAAGGATATGGGCCAAACACAGGGAAATGGGTTCAGAGATAGCAGGAACTGCAGATGCTGGAGAATCTGAGATAACAAGGTGTAGAGCTGGATGAACACAGCAGGCCGAGCAGGAGGGCTGACATTTTGGGCCTAGTTCCTTCTTCAGAAATGGGAAGAAAATTGCAGAAAATTTTCCAAAGAAGGGTCTAGGCCTGAAACGTCAGCCTTCCTGCTCCTCTGATGCAGCTTGGCCTGCTGTGTTCATCCAGCTCTACACCTTGTTATCTCAGATTCTCCAGCATCTGCAGTTCCTACTATCTAAGAAATATCAATGAACAGCTTTAGCATTACAGATAAAATCCCCAAATGGCTGAACTAGCATTGTCATGAATCTACGTACATGAGCTTTCAATTTCTAATTTTTTTAAAAAAAATTGTTCTGTGAATGTGGGCATTGCTAACCCAGCATTTGTTGCCCATCCCTAATTGCCCTGAACTAAATGGCTTATGAGGCTATTCTGGGGGCAGTTGTGAATCAACCATATTACTGTAATTTTGGATTCACATGTTGGTCCAACCAGGTAAGAATGGTAGATTTTATTGCAGAAAGGACATGAATGAACCACTTTTTTTTATATGATTTGATTTGATTTATTATTGTCATGTGTGCCTAGGTACAGTGAAAAGTTTTGTTTTGCATGCAGTACAAGCAGATCATACCATACAAAGTGCGTAAGAACAGAATGAGGAATATAATGTTACAGCTGCAGAGAAGGTGCACAAAGAGCAAAATCAACATTAAATTTAAAATTCGAGCAATACATTCAGAAGTCTAATAACAGCAGGGAAGAAGCTGTTCTTGAATCTGTTAGTACGTGTGTTTAATAGGTATTTACGAAAATTGGCTGTGGTTACATGATTGCCATTATATTCACTTTTAATTCTGGATTTTTATTGAAGTCAAATTTCCCATCTGCCATGGTGGGATTTGATCCCATGTTCCAGGGACAATAGTCTAGGATTTTGGATTATTGTTAATCCAATGATTCATAGATTGACAGACCCACAAAAACCATCATTGTGAGTTTAAAAACAATCATGAACTATGTGAGCTGCTGCTCTCTCTTTCGAGCCTAGACCTATTTGAGCAACTCTGCTGCTCAGGGTTGTGACTCGCTGCGAAATCTTACTATTCGCTGCAGAAAACTGGATAGTAGTCCAGTTCAGAAATCATTATACAAAAAAACACTTGAGACCAAGGCTCATAGGTAGGCTGTAAGATGGAAAACAAGAAGAGATGGTACAAAATGGTCAAAAATTAGATTCAGACAAGTGAACAGAGAGAGAAAGTAAAAGGAACAGGTGCAGAAAAAGCCAATATGATAGAGGAAAAAGATGACAAAGAAAGAGTGAGAAATAGGAAGGAGATAAGCAAAAAGACAATAGGTTAAAAAAGGTGAGAAAAAATATTAACACTGTTTCTATTCTGTACTGAGGACTGTGCAATTCTGTCTGTCAGATCGCAGTGAAAATAGTCTAGCTGTGGTGTCTAGAAGCAGAGGACACTATTACAACAGACAAATGATTTAGGAGCTGAAATGAGGAGTTTCTTCACTCAGAAAGTAGAGAATCTTTGGAATCCTCTGCCACCGAGAGAATTTCTGGCTTGAACCTATTCAATAACTGAGTTTTCATATTCTGTGGCTGTGGAAGATCAGTCATTGAGTAAGCAGAAATTGATAGATTGCTAGATACTAATCAGGAGAAACAGGGATAGTGAGGGAATCTGGTGGTGAGACGGATGATCTGCCGTGATCTAGAATAGCAGGGCAGGTTTAGAGGGCTGAATGGCCTAATCCTGCTCCTATGTTATGAAGCAAGAAAGGCAGGGCTACACTCGGCACTTAGTGGACAAAAGGGGTTCTTGCTATCAAACTTATTTTTAGAACAAAAGAAATCAGATCCTTGCTGACCTTGTCTCAACCATTAAAATTTGGTCTTGTAAAATCTGCCTTAGTCCTGGTGCCAATGGCCTGGTCCCCAGTTGGAGAGTGCCCAATTTATACAGTCACTGGCTGAAAGCATTTCTTCTTGCTGTTACCAACAACAGTGACTTAGTTCCTCTGATGGTAACTGAAGATCATCAACAACTTGGAGTATTTGAAGGACAGACTGCAAAAGATTTAACATTTCCAAGAAGGATTTATGTGTGCAATGACTAACAATGATATTCGACTTCAGTGGTGACTTGCTCATTGATTCTGGCTTTGTCAAACATGAACAAATTATTGGCAGCATGGTACCTCAGTGGTTAGCTGCCTACCTCACCGTGCCAGGGGGCCTGGGTTCAATTCCACCCACAGGTGACTGTCTGTGTGAAGTTTGCACATTGTCCCTGTGTCTGCGTGGATTTCCTCCGGGTGCTCCGGTTTCCTCCCACAGTCCAAAGATGTGCAGTTTAGGTGGATTGGCCATGCTAGGTTGCCTGTAGTATTCAGGGATGTGGCTGCGTGGATTAGCCATGGAAAATGCAGGGTTATAGGGACAGGGTAAAGGGGATGGGCCTGTGTGGGATGCTCTTTGGAGGGCTGATGTGGACTCAATTGGCCAAATGGCCAGCTTCCACACTGTAGGGATTCTATGATTCTATTGCTTAGGTTGTGTCCTTGACCAAAGATCCTTATTGTCTAAAATCTGCATGTAGCCCAACATCCCACAAGAGCAGGCCCTGAAAGAAGACAGTTACATTTGCTGCAAGTCCAAACTGAAAATACCTCAAAGAACAGAAATCAAGTTATTCAGCAACAGGATTAGTTAAGCAAGTTCAAATCCCATTGGGGAAGTTTATGAATTTCACTTCAGTTTAGGTAAAGAAAGCTCTGATCTTCACCCAGTCTGTCCTATCTTCAGTTCCACATCAGCATGGCTAACTTTTAATGGCCCTCTGAAATGGTCTCAAAAAACCTTCAGATCAGTGCGTAGGGGCAGACCAGAAATGCTGGCTTTGTCCATTGGCATTAATTTCCCAAGAATATACGTAAAACAAAATGCTCCCACCTTCTGGACATCTGATGGAATTCTGGAGAGGAAGTTAAGCAGCTCGTTATTATCGATGGCGTACGGATTTCTTAGCTTCTTCGTGAATTTGTGTATGCCTGTCAACAGAATTTAATTTTTTTTTTAAAAAATGCATTGAGACAGAAGGAACAGTTTTGCAAGTGAAAATTAGTGAGAAAACAATTACAAAGCGGCAGTCACACATATGTACCAGCATTCATGTCTCAACCTTATTACCACTCCCTGTTCTGTCATCTGGGTTCATTAACAAATACCCTCTTTATATAAAATCTCATTTTCTTCAATTGCAAAACCATTACAAAAGCAACAGCAGGAGAGTCCTCACCTCTCCCATAAGATAAGATTAGTGTTTGGTCTCTGCATTTCAAATGGAGTTTATGAACAGCACATTTCCATGGCATGTGCTGAGCCACTCCAGAATACTTTAATGGGCTTGAGGCTCCCTCTGACCTCAGCATGTTCAGTCCTGCTGCCTTCACACGTAAACGGCACTGGAGAATTTTTTATTTTCATAAAATAAATGTCTGTTGGTCGCTTTAGTGCTCAAGACTCTGAGCGAGTCTCGACAAGCTGAAACGTCAGTGGTTTCGACAGCAAATAGGTAACCAGGCCCGACCGGGGTTCATATGGCTGAAAGCGTGTCCAACTGAGGGAGGCGTAACAGTGACTTCCATTTAAACACAAAAATATCAACATATATGTAAAAGCACCCATGTAGTTGCAACATCTTTAATTACATACCTGCAGTGAAATGTGTCTGAATAGAAAAAAACAGATGTTTTTCTGCACACACCTCAGTAACCTTGACAGTGAGTTAAAGAGCTTGGAAGTTTATTTCAGGCATGTTTAGTGTTTAAAAGACTCAGAGGCTAAGTTTTCGTTCTCAGCTGTTGATCTGTCTGTGACAACGGTTTCAGGACTTCTACTTTAACAATGGCTTCATCGTACTTTATTAATCCGCTGATGAATTAGAAAACCATCTGTCTCAAAGGTTTAAACAAGGAATGCACTAAAAGTTCAGACTTCATGTGTGTGACAGTGTTCCTTTGTGATTATTTTGTTTTTGCCAGTCTTACTACTTCAACGAGCCGGCCAACTCTGTGCAGTTGTGGGAAGATGAAATGATCAGAGTGAATTGTTTTCAAATGTGTACGTCCTTTAGTGCAGTATCACATTTGCGTGAAATGCAAGATCAAATTTCACTGCATTCTGAGCCCGTTAACAATCCAAACAAAGGCTTTCTCATTAACTGCATCCGACTTCAGTGGTTGATTCAAAAATGGAGTGTTTCCTGACATTACTGGCTTCAAAATACCTCAAGGGGAGATTCCCAGGCATAAAGTTGCAGGGTCAACATTACTGCCTTCAAAGTAATGAAGAAGATGCTACTGCATTGATACAGATCACACACGGGTGACTAATTGGGCTAAGGCTTCATTATGTCGTATTTACATTCAAGTTTCAGTCTGATAAAAATCAACAACACAGTTGAAATGCCTTCACAAACAATACAGTATCCAGATTAGGGCACCCTTATCACAATAGGGTTGGAATAGTGTGGTTGTCCTATGCAACCTCCTGGAACGTAAATGGAAAACCCACCCAGTCATTTTGATGGGGAGTCCTAATGGTTTGAGAGGTAGCTTATGGTTTGCCCAGCGCTATTCACCCAGCATCCTTGTGCCTGGGAATCTACACTGGAGGTATTTTTAAGACATAGTAATTTTAACAGAGTGGGAAGTTATGAATGAATCTCTATTTTTAAATCTGTTTTCACACTTCCGGTTGTAATTATCAAGTTCATTGTTTCTGGAGTGGGTCATTGAACATGGAAGCCACAAAGGTCAGCATATGAGAAATGATAGGCAGTGAGACAGGGGAAAGTTTAGGTCTACCCTGTCATAGGGGAGGAAGTAAGGTGGGGCAGCTTGCAATGGACCTTTTCCCATTCCTTTCAAAACGTTCCCCCATGAAAGTAAGGATTCTCAATGTCTCTGAAGTGCCGTCAACCATGACCCTTTACAAATCTCCATGAAAACTGTGGAGGAGTAAGCCAGGGCTATCGACATTATGGAAAGGGCTTCGTAACCTGAAACAGCCTACGCTCTTAGAAAGCACCAGTTGAAGTCAGAAAACTCAGGAATGGGGGTTGAGAATTCTGCAATCAGGTACCGACTGCAATTTCTAAACATGCTCCTGAGTCAACCCAGAGTGGGCACAAACCTGGTGCAGAATCTTGTATTTCTAGAGGTGCTATACATAAATATTATAGTGCTTGTATGTACAATACAATGTAGAGACAGATATATATCAAACTAGTCAGCTTTGGATTTTGAAAATGTACTGGTTTGATAGAGCACATGACTAAAAGAGCTTTCCCCTTGTTTGAAAACTGACAAATGGAGGCAGACCTTTACACATTCGAACTAGATTGGCCAAGGGTGATGTTAGGAAGAAGTGCTTCACTTTGAAACAAGATCATTACACTGAGACAGCTGAAACATTGTCAGACAAAGAGTCTGAATAGCAATCACAGTCAAAATGCCACCCCACTCCTCCTTTATCATTTAAGAAAACGCTCCGTATTTATGGCAGGAAATTCCAACCACAGTTCCTGCAGAAATGAGGAGAATACCTTAAATCTGACTGTGCCCGATAGTCATGGGAAAGGAAACCTTCACCTTTTTCCTTTGTGGCAGTAGTGGCTGCATTCTGATTGAAATGACCTGCCACATAGGCAGCTGCTCTTACAGCTCCTGTATCCTGTAGAATCCCTACAGTGTGGAAGCAGGCCATTCGGCCCAGCGAGCCCACACCAATCCTCTGAAGAGCATCCCATCTAGACCCACCCCATTCGTGTAACCTTGCATTTCCCATGGCTAGTTCACCTAACCTACATATATTTGGACTGTGGGAGGAAACTGGAGCACTCAGAGGAAACTCACACAGACACGGGGAGAAAGTTCAAACTCCACACAGACAGTCACTCAACCATGGAATCGAACCAAGATCCCTGGCTGCTCTGAGGCAGCAGTGTTAACCACTGAGCCATCATGCCAGATGGGAATGGTGCCAGGTAAGTAGGGTGCCAGGTGGGTAGCATTGCCTGGAAGGCATGGGGAAAGAGGTTCAACTGAGACATTCAAGATTGCATCAAATGATTACTTAAATAGAAAGAATATTCAGCGTGACAGGAAACAGACAGAAGAATGTGACAAAATGCTGAAGAATGTGACAAAATGCTCATTCAGAAATTTGGCGTAGACATGATAGACCAAATGGCTTCTTTCTGTGTTGTAACATTTCTGAAATTCTGCCCAAGTGGCCTCTCAGATCCAGTGATGGTCTCTAGAGTCTATCTCAAAAATATGCCCCAGGCCAAATCTTAGTAATATTACCATTCTTGTACACACTTCCTATACAGCCCCTATTCCAAAGCAAGGATAAAGTTTGCCATTCAAGAAGAATGAGAACGTTTTGTTTCTGATTTATGTGAAAAGTTGTGTTTGTAACCATTCAGTTCATTGATTCAGCCCATTAATACAGTGGCACACTGCCAGTAATTCCTCTCCATAATCGTCCCTACGTTTAGCTTGGCTATTGGCAGGAATTGGGCATCAAAGACCAGAAAGGACAGAAACATTCGAACACAATGCAACCCATGCCAACTTGGGTTGGCACTTTGGCAACTGGATCAATAGAAATGTTTGTGGCCACATTAGAGCTAGAATGTCCAAGAACAATGTCAAGGGGCACTTCTTCACATGAAGGGTAGTGAAACTCTTTGGTCCAGAGAGCCATTGAAGCTGGATTGACTGGAATTTAAAAAAATTGAGACTGAATGAGGCGTCGGTAAGCTTCGCATAGGTCAGGCAAGAGAGATCACATTCAGAGTGGGACTACAGCCCAAATGAGTATATAGTTTGGGAAGTTTGGTGGCAATATGGGAATTCAGCATGGAGGGGGAGAGGCTCTTTTGGCCTGCATTCTTTCTTCGGCTCATAACTTGGACGGCTTTTTTTTAAAAACAGGATAAATCGAAACCCAGGAACAGGGACTAGCACAGAAGAGTGACATCACAGGTAAACTGTAAGTTCATTAGTTGGTGGTAGCTACTAATTAGACAAGTTTTAGGTTGAAGGCAAATAGGGAAAATACTTACACGGTACAAGCTAAAAGACCAGTGCAAACTTTTTAAAAATCAAATTAAGTGCTAAGTAATTAAAATAGAGATGCCCGAGCCAGGTGATTTGCTGAATTACATGATGTGAGAGCTGGTGGACCCCATTGTGCCTCATAGTGACCACATCTGTAGCAAGCATTGGTTGCTTGAGTTGATGAGCTGGAGTCTGAGCTTCAAACAATGTGACACATCAGGGATGGGGAGAGTTACCCGGACACTGTGTTTCAGGAGGCAGTCACACTCCTAAGATTAACTACCTCAAATTTGGTCAGTGATCAGGGACAGGATGGTGTGGCTACCAGTGAGGCAAGGAGAGAAATCCAGAAGGTAGTGCTGAAGCTTATCTAACAGGTTTGAGATTCTTGCTCCCTGTGTGGATGAGAGCAGGGGCTGTAAGGAGAATGAGCAAACTGGCCATAGCACTGTGATACAGGGAGCCATTCAAGAGGCGGGGAGAGAAACGAGAAATAGAGTTATAATCTGGATAATATAGTCAGGGGAATAGGCATTGTTCTCTGTGGCCAGGATCGAGACTCTCAAAGGCTCTGTTGCCTGGGTTCAGGATATCACATCTGAGCTGCAGAAGAACGTGGAGTAAGAGGGGAAAGATCCAACTGTCATGGTCCATGTACATGCAGAGTAGGATGGCATGGTAGCGCAGTGGTCAGCACTGCTGCCTCACAGCACCAAGGACCCATGTTCAATTCCACCCTCGGGCAATTGTCTGTGGAGCTTGCACATTCTCCCCGTGTCTGTGTAGGTTTCCACCAGGTGCTCCAGTTTCCTCCCATAGTCTCCAAAGATGTGCAGCTTAGGTGGATTGGCCATGCTAAATCGTCTATAGTGTTCAGGGATGTATAGATTAGGTGGGTTACAGGGGAAAGGGGTTGGGAT